CACACGTGTGTCTATATTATAAATTATAAGATAAGCCCTATGTCGTATTGTTTTCTATATGGGGAGTGGGGTGGGGTGAATATGGTAAATTACTAACCGGGAAAATAAATACCCACTCTGACCCAAGACCCCTGTTACGCGCCTGGTGTTAGCGCCAATGTGTGCCCTTGTGCGGACAGGGGATGTGCCCTCCTCTGAAGCTGGAAATCTTGTTTTTGCAAAATAAATTGATGCAATTTGCTATTATAGGCCTAATTAATAAATTCCCCATCAACTGATAACCTTAAACATTCTTGGAATTGACATAACATTACTGTCGTAGTACACACCCTTCAGTGTGAAATGTGGCTCTCTTTGCAAGCACATCTAACATCTAAGGAAAGAAGAGTTTAGATTGGTACCAGATAAAATAATTTTGTGATCAACATTAATACATTATGCTAATTTTCATCTTTGTAAGTGCATAAGAAAGTGCAAATTATTTCTATGACAGTCTTTTGAAGTGTGTAAAGCTCCACTTTATCCCATACATAGTCAAAATATTTGGGGGGATGATACAATGGACCATCCCCCCCTTGTCAAATATTGGGGGTATATCCCCCATTCCCCAGGATCTATGCATATGAATACCACACAGCCTGATACTCAGATGCAAAAACTCAGTGAGCTGGAGGGGCAGAGCCTTCAAATTGAAGTTAGTTCATAGTAATAATAAGAAGAAGAAGAAGTAGAAGAAAAAGAAGACAAAAAACTTGCCAATATACCAAGGTTTTCATCCTCATTTGTGAGGCTGTGGTCAACAATGATGATGATAATGATGATGAGTATTATTTGAATCAAAATTATGTACAAACATGAATTCTAACTAAACAACATACTGTAAATCTTCTAGGTCATAATTTGTAATGTCATTAATCAAAAAATAAGAAGAACCAATGCAAGAAGACAAACATCGACACTGTTTTCAAGATGCTCCTCGTCCAGGGTTTGGTTGGTAGAACCAAGTCTTCTCAGAAAGCATTTAAAATGGAGGTCCATTGAACCCATATGGCTCATGTGAATTCTGAAGAACCTGTTACATCTTTCGGAAGAGCAGGGGGTTACCCCGATGCCATGGTTCATTTCAACCCCTGTCGTTGTGGAATGATGTGAACATGTAACTAATATAAGTGCCTTTTTATGTCCACTAGGTAGTCACGGACCACGCCAATATGCAATTCAGAACAATGACGCTGCGAGTTACGTGTTATTTTCCAAACTTCACCCTTTACAAGTAATAATAATACATTTATACAGAGTTCATATGAAGGCCATTTGCAGGGAGTAGTTCCTTTCCCGAGCTATTAATCAGAAATGAAATGATGCCATAAGTACCCTCAGGGAGGTCTAACATTTTCAAATCCTATAGTTATTTATTTACAAAGTTTATCAGAAAACATGGTGATCCAAAATATATGGCCTTTAAACGTGGTACATATTAAGGTTGTTGAGTATACACAGCTATAGTCAACATTTCTAACAATGCTGTTAATATTGATTCAACATTTATAAAGTTTAATTATGACTTGCACATTTGAAGTAACATCATTAATCAACAATAAAATAAATTCGGTGAACTTCATGTAAACTTTTACGTATAACCAGTATGGATCAAAAGATTTGTGTTTTACGTTCAACCAATTGCATAGGCAAGGCATATTGGATCGTGGTTAGAGTCAGGAAGTCTGCGAAGAGTATTTAGGAGGTAATGAGTTTTGACCGCGTATGTCCCCCTTGGTTTCTACCTGTCTGTATCTTGAAATCAGGTGTGCTTAAATGACTGGGTGATTAATGGTACCAATGACCCATTATTCCCAATGCATTTGACCCATATCTGGTTGATAGCCTCTGGGGTATGTGTGGGTAGTATTCGAAGGCCATAGGTATTTCTTCAAAGGTGATATAGACTGTTATAAAGTGGATTGAGAAAAGTTGTTTTAACGATGAAAAAATGGTGCTTTATAAGAATACCTATATTATTATTATTATAAAACATCTACCGATAAGATGTATTGTTATTTAATTCGCATCCAACAGCAAGTAACTGACCAATTAAAGATGGACAATGCTTTGTAAACTAAGTCACTTTATGAAGCTTATTAGGGAGTGGAGTTTTTTTAGTTGTGAAAAAAAGTCCTGCTGCCATATATGGCCATATCAATTGAACCCAGGACCCTGGGATTAGAAGGCAAGCATCTTATTAACCACCAATCTATTCAACTCCACTCCATCACTTTATTCAGAAAAAAAGTGAAGGAAAACATGTACAAAAAACCTAGGTCAATGTTCATTAAACAATTGCAAGGTAAAATCATACAAAAGACACATTACAAACATTTAGAGAAACTTAACATGAATATTATTTAAAGAATATAATATTTTTAAAAAATAACTAGTCTCTTTATGAGGTTTAGGGAGTGAAGTTGTTTTTTTTTTTAGTCGCGAGAAAAATTCTTGTCACAGGAATTGAACCCAATACCCTGGGTTAGAAGGCAAACATCTTAACCACAAAGCCATTCAACTTCACTCCTATTACTGTGTTTAAATATGATTCAACTAAACAACATGTGGTGGCAAGCCAGGAGAAGGCCACTTTAACTTGGTTTTGCATGGGTACACTCTATACTCCGAGTAATGTAAATACTGCTTCTGTACTTCAGTCAACACGCTCCTTGAATGTTGAAACAATACAGCTGACCTGACCCTATTAGAAAATTATTATTATTATTAGCATTATCATGGGATTTGTCGGTTGGCAATTGATGTGAGAATTGGGTAAAGTTGACCGATACATCAGAAGAATCATATTTATAATATGAATATATGTAATTAATATTATATATTTTATTAATATATTTATGTAAAAGTAAATATTAATTATTTTATATTTATTTGATATTTTTTTTATTTATAATTGATTATCATAAAGTTCTGTGTGGTCTAATGATTAGGATTCATGGTTTTCACCCACACGGCCCAGGTTTTTGATTCCTAGCAAGGGAAGGGTATTTATTTTTTAGGAGTACGAGCTTTCTTCGGTTTGGGTTTATACCTAATCCTTGCTGCTGGCAAGATTGTACTTTACTTTGCCAAATAAATATTATTATTTATTATGTTATATATCTTTATTGCAGGCAGTTACTATCAGAAATGTTACCCGGCCCACAAGAAGAGGAAAATTATTCAGCAACACCAAACCACGAAAATTTGCTTTGAGCCGAATGTACAAGTTAGTTAAACAAGTCTCTTTTATTATCTTTTTTTATTATTAGCATGTTACATGCAGTAGGGGCATCACTCATGCTTCTCTAAACATCTGTTTATTTATCTATATTTATACATTCATTCATTCATTCATTAAGATAATATAATCCTTTGTTTATTCATCCATTCATTTTAAAGTAAAGGGTATTTTTAAGGTCCTGTTATTTATTTTCTAGAAATGTAGAGTTCAATGCCAAATTCCCCCAGCTTCAAGTGAACTACTGGGCATCCGGTGCTAAGCAGCGGGGCATTGAGATGTGTCTAGGGAAGGGTAGCTTTACATCAAAGTTCAACCTGCAACTCAATGACCCTCGTGATGGACTCGTTCACAGAACGGTGGTAAGCTCCAGCTGCCTCATCAATTTCAATGTCAATCTCAAATAATCAATAATCTTTTTATTGATTATTGATTGATTAATATCCAAAGGAGGTTTTGTATTCACTGCTGTATGTCTGTTTTATTTTATTTCTTCAAGCAAACAGTAGAACATAAGAAAATATAAGACAAAGAAAGAGGGAGGCTGAGGAGGGTCAAAAGTTGTACAAAAAATAATATCACCAGGTGTGCCCCTCCCCTCTAACCAAAATATTAAACATCAATTATAAAAACAGATATAAAAATATAAAATGATTATTATATTAAAAATTCAAATATACAAAATTATTTAAAATCAAACAATTGCAAAATCGACCCAGCTAATATAATTATTTACTCTTGAGCATAAAAGAAAATAATCAAATTGCCCATACATGCCCCATTTATTTTGCTGATTTGTAGGCTTTTTTTTTTTTATGAAAATCCTTACCAACCAACTTAAGGGTCTATTTTAAAGACAATATAAATGGTATTAGGACAGAAAAGTGTCATGGAAACTGGTTTGGGGTGGGGGTGGGCGTAATCAAACAATTATTTTTTCTATGAAATCTCAATTTTTCATTGCAGTAGGTGCACTAAAGCTCACTTTGTACGACGGTTGTAAAATCCAACTCCACTCTCTGTGAACACTAGGTGGCGTGACGCCGTCTATTGATTTTCGGTGGCAGTTTGAGCTGATCGTCATTAAAAATAGAATTGCATAGGCTGGCGACTATCGGGCACAGTGGGTGCCTGGTTTAACGGCTGGTTATATAAAAAGTCTTGGCTAAGCTAAAAAATGGAAAAAGAATTTGTGTCAGAACAAGCCAAGATCAAGAATCCCATTAGCCTGGTTGTGATTGGAGCATGAAATCGTATTTCTCAATCCCATTACTGAAGCCAAATCTACCCTTAAGCCACATATCAAGACTTAGTTCATTGAGTATCACTTTACCTTAGGTAGTTACATTCTGTAATGAAATTTTTCGGGGTGTCAATCAAAGCATAGCAACTGACAATTATGATAATGTTAATAATAATAGTAACAACGACATCTAATATTAGGTGCATGTATCCATCTCTGAGAGTTGCTCACAGCGCCATTTTATTCAATTAGCGAGTCCAGACTTAGCATATGTCCCACATACGTAAGTTTACGATTGTTTGTTGCAGCTTTTTGTTTTGTGTGACCTTGTCAACAGTAGCAGTAGCTCCAGAAATTTGGCGATGGGGTACGACATGTCCTATGGGTTGGTCGGAACCAACGGGAGGCTAGAGCCTCAGACAGGTTCCAGTAATAAAAAAATAAAAAAATCACTGCTAGGTTTCACAGGGAAAGTTTTTATGGCTTAGTATGTCCAAATTATGCTTTTGGACCACATTATTAGAGATTAGCAATCAAAATAACGTTATTTGGATGGGGAGGGGCAGGGGCCAAGCCTGTCCGACTGGGGGGTGGTTTGTAGCAGAACTCTTGATTAATGTGTCCAAATACTGTACTTTTTTACCAGAATATGAAACCTGCTTATTTAGTGTCCATATTTGAAATGTTATTGTAAGACCTTCTATTCATGGTTTGATAGGATTGGTTTCCATATTAATGTCAAAATCAATAAACTACGTTCTCGTTTTCTTATTGTTCTCAGGCTGATTGGAGTGTGACTGGAATGGTCTTTGACGTCGGGGAAAGTCATGCCTACCTCTACACAACAGGAACTGATAATTACCAAGTAAGATATAGACCAATCTATTTACAGTGATTATTCTCCCTCTCCAGCTGCCATAGAAGGGGGATTCTTTTTGGGGGTGGGAGGGATGTTGGGTGGTGATTCTTGTGCATCATCTGCTACAAATATAAATATTTGAATTATTGTACATATATTATGCTGTTTCAAGCGTAACCTACTCTAATTAATTTGGACCATTGTACATAGACATGACATGCATGCGGGGGCCCCCAAGAAGTTCCCCAGAATTGCTGGCGCCAGTAGAGAAAGCCCTTTCCTGGATTTGTGTATACTTAAAGATAAAAAGTTATTGAAAATTGAATTCCATATTTGAATTGCTTTATTTGTATGTCTGAAATTAACTTACAATCAAATATTTGTATGGGAAAAAAAAAATTCCCTGCCAATCAACGGACAGTGAATACATTTCCTGTATTCTTTTGCATTGACCCTTAAATTAGCTGGTAATCAATTTAAGAATTTTTTTTATAGTAAAAAGTCTGTAAATCAGTGAAATTTTTTTTCTCTTTTATCTGTCCTGGTTTGAGGTTAATAATTTATTTGAAATAAACTATTCAGGCTTTTTATGAATTTTTAAGGTTTCATCCGATTTTTTTGGCAGACAATGTGTCTTTAAGTTACTTTTTTGATAAATTACGATATTAGTAATTATATTAACAATCGTTTGTGAATATAATTGTAGATACACTGAATTAAGTCATTCTTTAATTTTGAAAGTACATTAAAAGTAACCTTTAATCGTAGTAGATATATCTGACACACCCTGATTAAGTGAGATATACCTACACATGATACCCTTATGTAAATATTAACAGGTAAGCCAAGAATTAAGCATGGGATTGTTTGCTCTTGGAAGCGCACTTTTTGATACAAGGGAAATTTATTTACTACTTGATAATGCCCGCAAGCAGTCAAGAGTTTTAAACAAGAATTCAGATATTGATCATAATTATCGAACATGACACTTTGTTTTTTTAAGGTTGGAATGCCTTCTAAGTCAGCTTCAGACAGACACCATGTTGCAAGTGTTGAAAAGTATGTTCCACTGACTCATAGTAATTTTAAGGACACTCTCATACGCATTCCTTCCCTCTTTCATACACCCTTACCACCACTAATGCATACACCTACCACCTCCAATGCACATTTTTACCCTTGCTCATACATTCCAAACACAACCAATGCATAACTCTACCCACCAGTAATGCACAATTCAGTCCTTGCTCAATGCTCATACACCCCAAGCACCACTAATGAACATCCCTATTCCAGGGGAAAAAAATTTTGGAGGCCCCTTCCACATCAGCGAAGTATTTCGTTCATGAAGTGGCTGAGGGTGGGTAATCTCCCTATAGACTACCACAGTCGTGTCATTACAACGCCAGATGGCGCCCTCTGTCACCAACCGTTCATTACTTCTTTTATTTTCTATAATTGCTATTTCTTGATCGTCTCACTTTTCTAATTTTTTTGCAACAGAGTTGTATATTGCCGCCAAAGTTCAAGTCCGAGTAGGACACCTTCTGTTGAGGAACTACAGGAAGGGGTACCCCTAACCTCAGACACAGATCAGACAGAAGATGGAGGAAATGACAAGGTAATATTTATAAATATATTATCAAAATATGTTTTTTAAACTTTTTAGTATTCAATATTCAAAGATTAATTTTTATATTTTTTTTGCTCCAGGGCTTCATACATAAACTTGTTGTTTATGAGTTTCGTGGCTCATGGACACGGTTTAATCGTGACGCTGTCCTTGGGATGTACGATGCCTACAGTACAGCTCAGACTCTGAAGCACAACCTGTCCACAGAGGCCCTCAAAGGCATTAAAGTCGACAGCAAAGGACCTGTAAGTTCTGAACGTAGAAAACTTTATTAAGTCCTGTCCAGATTATCAGATTTTTCTTGACAAAAAGAACTGTTGTATGCCCAGATATAGTCATGATGTGCCTATATATGGTCATGATGTAATGTCAACATGACCATATTAAGGCAGTAGTGGTTTGCATGTTGTTTATTATTAATTCTGTATCTTAATGCGCCTTCAACAGTTTTTCCATAATTGGATATCTGCGCTATATAAAGCTTAAATAATAATAACGATGATGATAATAATAAGGATTATAAGAATAACAAGGAAAAGTTCTGGTATTTTTTTCCTGAAAGCTGAGATATGACCTTGTTTTTAACAATTAATTTTTTATCCTTTTGTAGCGATCTCACACCCCGATGACTCCACCCAACAGCACCAGTGGGTCATCAACCACAACTGGTACCACTCCAAGTCCAATGTCCTTGCTTCAAGGGGGACACGGTGCGAACATGCTCCACCAACTTCTTTCGGAGACTGCCACCAAGTTTATGGTGTTTTCTGAGGAAATTTCTGGAAGTAATGAGATGCTGTTTGGCGCTCAGGCCTGTACCACGGATGATGTCATGCTTAAGAATTGGCTAAGTATGAATTTCATCTTTATTTTCAGAAAGATAAGCATGTCTGTTAAGGGCACGCTAAAATCAGAATATTGTTTGTACTTGGTCACTCTCAGATATTGTTAGATTCCACTAGGACACCAGGCTAGTTTACTGGAGGACGTGGGTTCGATTTTTTCACCCGAATCACTTTGCTCCACCTTCAGGAGCAAAAAAAGTCTCCCCATATTATAGGGGGTGTCTTCTGAATATGGTTAAGTCATAAAAGATAATTTTTCTCACTTGCCAGCCAGAAAAGTGTCCCATAATAAGGTTGTCCCCTTAAATATGGTTGTCTTAATGTAGGTGTCCTACGGTATACTTACAGTATAACACCTATTTAGATTCCTTTCATTTAATTGGATGATTATATACAAGTGCAATTAACCAATAAAAATAAGTTCATTGCTTAACTAATGTCACATTGTTAGTTCATTAATTTTGCTGTGCAACTATATATTCCAGTTCACCAAAATATGGGTTGATCACTCACCATATTTGACTTTTTGACCTTTTGCATGCTTAGATGTTCTAGATGATTTTTAGGTTTCTGTAGTAGGTGTTGATAGAACAAATAGTACAAATAGTGAATAATTATTATTTGTTATGCCTTGTTGAATAGAACATTCCATCCTTCACTGTATTAAAATATTCTGACTAATTGCACTCATAAATAATGTATGCATATAATTGATGCTTACTGCGGAGAACACAGAGACTAAACTAGGTTAGTTATTGTAGTTGTAGTGCCTTTTAGTTATCAGGCTGCTGAATCGGATCACTACTGTAAACGATACAATCGGACAATACAACATAGAACTACTGGGTCCGGATGATTGCTCCGGTGTTTATGCTAGCCACTGCTCAACAACTTGCTTTGTTAGCATGTGGCATCGTGTGGTACACTAATATGCAAATTGTTATTCAAATTACTGAGGTACATATTGATATTCAAATTTACAACAGATGCTTAATTAAACTATTGTTACAATGCATATTGTCACAACCCTCAATTTCATCATCCATATATTAATAATAATAATAATAATAATAACATACAAATGTTTATATCTGTCTCTTATACACATCTAGATGTGTATAAGAGACATTTTTATATAAAGAAAATCCAGCCATAGTTTCCTACAACAATATTTTTCATTATTTTTTTATATGTTCCTACATAATGTTTGTTTTTTTTTTTTCAGTTGAGTTTGTTAATAGCCAGGTGATGCTAAAAGGTTGCGAGAGGTCAGGGTATGTCATTGTAAGTGCTGCCAATGCTCAGGTTATGCAGTGTCGCCATTGGCCAGCATGGAGGGGTGGACAGCTGACGAATAAGACAACTTGGGTAGGAAAATTGGACAGCATGCAGGTAAACAAGACTTATATTTCATACATTTTTTTATATACAATATCTACGTAAACATGTATATTTGTGGGACATGCATGTATTCCTGTATCTTCTCTGAATTTGTTACAGTCTTATAAGTCAGTTGTCACAGTCAGTTGTACAATCTTTTGTACACCTGACGGAATTTTGTAAACATGAATTTCGTCAGTTTATCATTGTTTATATCACATCAGTATAGGTAAGTAGTTGGTTGTCATCCAAATAAGAACTTCATGAATGTTTCTGACAAGAAATGCCAATGCTCTTGAGTTCTTTCCATCATAGATTAGCTTCACAGATGGTATGAGGAAAATAAAAGAAAGAGAAGACTTCCAAATATATACAGTAAAAGTGTATAAATATAAAAATAAGCATTAGTAGTTTATAAAGGTTTTTTTTTAATAACTTTCAAATCTAACAGCAATTACACTCACGACTTACAGGATAAAATAATACTTATAAACCTGGGGCGGATTGCTATAAAACGGTCTTAACTGGTAGTCTTAACTCCTCAAATAAAGCCGGCTTTACAACTCAGACGGTCTAATACTAAGTCACTCTGTAAAGACCATTGCTATAAAACGGTCTTTGCTTAGACCGCTTTGAGTATTGAAATACAAACAAACACTCCCTGGTAACTTAAAATTGAGGGTGCTGTTAGGCTTGTTCAACACATGCATATTTATCAAAATGAATGTAAATGAACGTAGACTGGTTTTTACAGATGCTGAGAAGCTTGCTGAATATTCGTTGTTTGATTCTTAGTCTTTGATGATCTAGGCCTGGTCTATAGTACCTGTAACGCCATGATGAAAATGATTTAAGACTGTTTTAAGCCTCCTCCGAGTAGGCTTTAAAATTTAAGACGGCTAACTGGTTAGAGCCCGGTATAGAATGGTCTATAATCTTAGACCTGTAGTGACGTCAAGATTAAAGCCGGCTAAGCATTAAGACCGTCTAAAAACCGCTTATTGCAATCCAACCCATGTCTCTTTCATGAGGCTTAGGGAGTGAATCCTGCAGTGTTTGAACCCATATCCCTAGGATTGGAAAGCAAGCATTTTAACCTCCATTCTACAGCTCCAGTGTGTTATACATTATTTTAACCGAATCATGATATTTATTTGCCTTTTCAGTACTTTGCTACTGTTGAATCTCCCACTTCAGCCAGCAATGAAAATGTATTATGGTTGTCAAAGAGCTACATAGAACGCACAATGCAGCAGCAAGCCGTCGATCTCACAGACATCCCTGATCTAGTTGGCAGCGGTGAGTCTGTTGGCGGTGTTGTAAGCGACACAGTTGGGGCAACAGAATTCCAAGATGAGGCAGTACAGCTTCAGCGCATTATTTCTCGTTGCAGTTGTCAGTTCTACTACGCCAGCTATGGAGAGGAGTTGGACCCCGAAGTAGCTGCAGAACCCCCTCCTGACAATTCTGAGGTAAACCCTTGTGTATTGATTTGCTGGGTTTTTTTTTTTGTAAAAATAAAAGATTCATTGAAGAATGTCAGATAGGGTAAAAGAATACAACAATACAATACAATATTTCTTTCTAGTGTTCACAGAGAGAATTGCTCTATTAACCAGCCATTGATCAGTACCATTACTCCTACAGCATCATTTCCTCAATGTTCAACACCTGTTAACTCACCACTCATCCGAATCTACCAAGGCTCCTAACCCAATACTCACTTCTTCCAACCGACAAAACTCTTGATCCACCACTCCCAAATCCCACTTCTCTAAGACCAGCACATCTCCAAGACCATCGCTCCTCCATAGCCACCATTCCCCTCAGACCTCCCACCCCTCTTCCAACCTACCACAATAATGGGTAAAGGTAAAGGCACTGAATTGCCAATGGGCATGGTCTGTGACTACCCAGCCACAAAGAGGTGCTTATAGTAGCTACATATGTACACATGATCCCAATGACAGGGGCTGAAATGAACCATGGCACCGAGGTAACCCTCTATTCTTCTGAAAGATGCAATGGGTTCTTTAAATTGGACATAAGCCAAATATGTTCCTGGACCTCGGTACTACCAACCAAACCCTGGGTGAGGACCGGCTCGAACCAGTTTATTTTTCATTAATGATGTTACTTAAAATGTGCAAGTCATAATTAATCTTTCTAAATGTTATCAATATTAACTGCGTTGTTGACTATAGCTCTGTGTATTCAACCACCCCAATATGCACCATGTTAAAGGCCGTATGTTTTGGATCACCATGTTTTCTGATGAACTTAAATAAATAACTATAGGACTTGAATATGTTAAGCCTCCCTGAGAGTACTTATGGCATCATTTTATTTCTGATTAATAGCTCGGAAAAGAAACTCCTCCTTGCAAATAGCCTTCATCTGAACTGTATTATTATTATTATTATTATTAGCAATGGTTAAAGGTAGAAGAATAACCCATAACTCACAGCGTCATTGTGCTGAATTGTGTATGGTCCCTGGTCTGTGAATATATAGCCACCATAAGGAGGCGCTTATAGTCATTATGTGTTCACATCATTCCACTACGAGGGGCTGAAATGAACCATATAAAACTACACAATTATTATTATTATTATTATTATTATTATTTATTAATCCTTTTAGCACTTCTCATAAAGAACCACTATAAAAAGTATTTAGCTATAATGTTTTGTATCAATCTACTTCTTGAGCAGAGTAGTGTTGAGGGCGGTATACTGCACCAGGATGAAGCTGTTAACTCGTTCACCTTGATGCATCAAGACCTGGATGTGTGTACTAACTCAGCTCAGTATTCTACTATCATGGATATCATCAATAATCTACTGCTCTATGTGGAACCAAAGCGAAAGGTCTCGTCAATTTGTTCTTTAAGAAACAAAATAAATGAAATAATAGCTATAATATATTGATGTAGCAAATCCAGGGATGCTAACAGTTCCAATTACCACCTATTTACTGATGGTAATACTGGACAATTATAACCTCCTTTGCTATCTTAAAACCCACAACAAAATATTTCAAAATCCATGGAAGGTTTTTTAAATCGTGCAATACATGCTATTCAAGTATTTTTGCTTTGATATTCATATAAATCCTATTTTTTTTTTTTTTTTATTCTGATGCTGAATACACTACAATCATGAATAGCTAGTTTAGTATGCTTAATTTTAAACATCCTGTTTTTTACTTGTGTCTTGGGTCCAGCTAGTTAGCAGATACAACTAATTATGTTACTAATTAGTTTTTTTAATTTTGTCAATCAATGAATTGACCATTAACATTTTCAAAAAGTGCCAAAGTCAACTGGAGTAATCTAGGGTTGCACTGTGACATTAGCTCATGATAACACAGTCTACAAAACAAGGAAGAAACTAAAGTAGATATCATAAAATTATGGATTTTCCTAAGTTTCCAATGCATGCCAAAAGAAGCTGGTGCTGGCCTGCCTATGTACCTTACATCAATAAAAATAATAAAACTAAAAGTAGAGATTATGATCTTCTCACCAAAATAATAAAGTTTATTGTCAGGTCCATTAACAATTTAACCTGATGCAATTGTGAAACATTCTTTGTTTACAATGAAAATGAAATGCTGGCACGCTCATCAATTTTGCCATGGTTTTTTTTTTTTTTTTGTCTTTTTGTTGAATTTTTTATTTTGTCCTCGCATTTATATTTATTTTTATTTTCCTCCATATTTTAATGTTTCTCTTTTTACTTGTGTGTCTTCATTTATAACTTTGTTTTTCAATATTATTGCACTTTTAATTATTTCATACCTGTTAATGTTATTCAAAAAATGTATTTAGTATGTTTTGAATTGTATTGGTTTTACTGTTTGGTCTTTTTAGTGTAAGCATTTCTAAATTATAAATTTGATGTTAATTCAGCTACCTATTCTGCTGCCAATCAAATACTGAATAAATTGAAATTTTAAAAAATTGCCTGCTTCCTAATTAATTTATTTTCATCTGTTTTAGGAAGCAACAGAGAAACTGCAAGGTATGCGATTCCACTTTCAGTTACGAAGTGAGGAGGACCAGAAGGGTCCTATTCTGTCATTACAGAACAAGTTAAGGAAAAATTTAGCAGAGCTAAGGAGATTAGAGAAGGAGTTGTATGGAATTCACAGACAACTTGAGGCAAATCCAGATGACCCTAAGTATGATGGATTTTCATCTACAAATTTGTCTTCATTTAATATATATTATAAGTCAACTGTGACGTCATCATTGTAACGCAAATGTTATTTTTCATGGTTATTGTTGATAAAGTTACTAATCATTTGCCTCAATTTCTATTAATTTATAATTTTATATTTTTTGTTTAGTTTTTTGCAGCAAAGTATGGATGTAGAGGAACAAGTTGTGGACTGTAAGGAGAGTTTACTTACAGCGAGTGATGACCTTCATGTCATGGTTAGGTATGTCACATGGTACTCAGTTATCCCAAATGCATCTTTTAATTGGCTGTGTTTCACTTTATTTGTTTTAATGCCATCTTTACGGACTTTGTGCATACTGTAATAGTATGTACTGTATTGTATTTTTATATATAGAACTGGTACATTATAGCATAGATATACATTGTATTTATTTCTTCCCTTACATAATTATAAAACAGTCTATTGTGCTTCCACAGTTTGTTTTAAGTGTTTTTACATTTATTATTTCAATTGTTTGTGGTAGTGCTCACTAGTGTCCGAGGGGTAATTTTCAACAGAAGGCTATCCTGGTTTGCCATCTATAGAACAGGTTACAGCAATTCATTATTTTTATTGTTGTTGTTATTATTTAATATTATTATTATTATTATTATTATTATTATTATTATTACTATTGTTATTATTATTATTATTATTATTATTGTTATTATCATCATTATTATTATTATTAAATACTGTTCTTTATTGTCCATCTGCAGTGTTTACAAAGAAATTCAACTAAAACGTGCAATGAAACTCAAAATTCAAAGTGGTAAGTTTACTTCTCTGAAGATCTTTTATTTACAAACTACAATGCATTTTGCACATGTGCACCTGGGGCAACAAACTGTGTGGTCTGATTTTAAACAGCAAGCCAAAGGTGCCACCAACAAGGGGTAAGGGGGAAATTAGTCGCCCTCCCCCATTCTATAATATTGTGGTGTGAAAGCTCAATTTTGGGTCATGCTAAACCATAACATCTTTTTCCACCAGGATTTTTATTTCCAGACTCAAGGCTGTAGTTGGCCCTCAGTTTGTACCCACTGTTGTACTTGCTCACAGGTTGGTGCATTCTGATCCCACAGCAGGTATAAAGCTCTATCGTATACTCTATACCGAGTATACAATGAATTTATTTAATTTATTTATTTAATTTGGTTTTATTTTTTATTAATGAAGAACTATACAATGTACACTGTAGACCTTGAGACCACAGTACAGTAGTAATCTATACTGAGTATACTAAAATTGATTAATATATTGTTTATATATTTTTTATTTATTTATTTATTTTAATCAAGGAAGACCTATATACAATGTATGCTATATAGGTAAGATACATAAGTAGACATGCCAGTGCATGTCAAGATAAAATCTGTGGATTTACACCACAATACGTTAGTACCGTAAATGCTTGAATAAGCGCCGCTCGGCTCTAGAATAAGCACCGCTCGGCTCTAGAATAAGCGCCGCTCGGCTCTAGAATAAGCGCCGCTCTAGAATAAACGCTGCTCTTGAATAAGCGCCACACCAAACCTGATTATGTTTGCTAAGTGCCGCTCTCTAATAAGTGCCGCGGCGCTTAATCGAGGGTATACATTACCCTGTGTGTAATGAACACTTTGAGAAACAGGGTTTTAAATACAATGTACAGTATGTAGTGTTAAAATGTATAAATAACACAATGAAGACACAAGCATTTCTTTATAAACGTTTGATGGGTCTACCAATGGAGGAAGAATACGTGAGATAGGTAAGATGGGAAAGGGCATGGAAAGCGCCATGCCAATATGTTTTTTATAAGCGCCGCTCTTATATAAGCGCCGCAGTTGAACAAACGCCGCACTGAAGCCTCCAAATTTTATAAGCGCAGCAGGACTTAATCGAGCATTTATACTACTCTACTGAGTATATAATGGATTTAGTTGTTTATTTAAAAAAAAAATTAAGGATGCTTATACGATGTATGCTGTATAAATAGGTATTGTCAACTGTGAGCTGTTTCAACAGTTAGACAGAAACTCGGACAGTATCAGAGACCATAATTATAATATTATAAGTAGCTGGTAACTTTATATATTGTGTTCCAGTCTATAGCTTTCTGAACCATATCATAGTAAGAAACATTTCACCCTATAATTGGTTGGATTATATGTCGCTCCATATTACAGTATTTTCATAGCTTAGGAATGTTTGTCCCCTAACAAAATTGCTAGATTGAATTATACTTTTACTTCCTGCTTTAGTGTTGTTGCATGCAGTTGTTTTAGTATATATTTTTTGCACTGAAGTTCTATGGTGTATGTTATTTTGTTCATAAATCCTTCATCACACAGTAACTATAGCTTCCAGGATATTGATTCACAATCAATCAACAGGTATACATAAAGTACTGTAGACATGAGAGTGCTTATTGAGATTTAATATGTGGATACTTGATACTCAGTATACGATGAATACGACATGTAATAGACGACAGTTATCTCAGAGTAAATTTAATCGCATGAATCATACTACGATAAATACAACATGTAATGCGAGACAATTGTCGTAGGGTAGTTGTAGGCACACCATTGTAGAAAGTAAAAATAATAATAAACAACAACATACAATGAATGCTGTATGTGTGAGACAAGGTACACAGGTGAATCTGGTTTTTGAAGATTGTAACGGGCGGGATAATAATTTGATGCTAGTCAAACCCTGAAACAAAGCTGTGGCCCATAAAGCAACCAGAAACCATAAGAAAAGAAAATACACAAATTGAGCAAGAAGTAGCCTATAATTGAAGCAACAAATATTCAAAAGTTTTGTACTTAGTAGTCAAATAGAAGGTGAAAAGAAACACACTTAAAATGTTTACCTATTCAAATGTAAAGGTGATGATCACCTAACAGCCTGAGTTGACAAGACTTGACTACTTGCTGTCAAAAAATGATTGTGAAGGGCAACTCTGCAATCATGTGATATGGTACATTGAATAGTATATGAATACAACCGCATAGCCACCGACCATTCAATGGTATTTGTGACCAGCTCTAGAACCTTACATTTTATCGCATTTCTAACTTTACGTTAGCATCCAAACTGCCCAACAATTTCAGGATTATATAAAAGAAAGACAAGAACATTTCTGCTAAAATGTCACTAAATCTTACTGTAATGTATTTATTTTTTTTTATATTTTAAAATACAAATCTTTAACTGTTAACTACTGATTTTGGAATCTTTGGAAGCTGTTTCTCAAAACATTGGTAATCATAAATTCAGTATCCTATAACAATACTTGAGTTAAATCTCCAGAAAAAAGCATCTTGCTTGTCCTTGGAGGTTCCGTGCTGTGGAGTGTGCTGTTTTGGTGCTCACATACCTAAAGTCAGTGCATAGTATTTTAAAAATAAATGAAGTACTGTATTATATAGTAATCAACTAATTCCTATCAATTAAACAATGTTAAAGAGTAATATTTATCGAATTTTGTAATTCAAAACTATGATTTCAAATTTTTTTGACAAACAGAGCACTTGCTGGTCACATTTTTCAATTTAGCCAAGGTGATCACCCCCATACAGACAGTCATTGAATCTTTGTTTTCTTTCTTGCTTATATAAACAGACCAGGGAGTTAGAGTTGTACGGCGTGTCGAGATGTGCTTCAGCCTAGCAAAATGGAAACTAACAGAGAAAGATGGACAGCTGGGAATGTCCTATTTTGAGATTCGCCAATTCAAGTAAGTGTCTACCCAGGGCTGGAAAAAATGCATGACTGTGTGACCAGATGTTGGAGGCAATAGGAATGCCCTGGAGGCATTGTGTGGAAAAATAAAATTTAAAAAAAAAATTAACAGTTGGGCTATATGTTTACAGACAACATTTGGTGCTGAAGGCATTTTATTGAGACAACTTTTATGGTCGGAGGCATAGACATTTTTTTCCAGGCCTGTGTCTGCCCATTTTGTAATTGCATGCAAACTTAGTGGAATTTACTCACCCATAAGTTGTATATTTAGCTCGTGATCTTTCTATATAAAGTTTCACTACATAATATGCAATATACAAAACCAAACATGAAGTTAAAAATGCTTTTTATAAAGTTGAAACATAGACAACCTTTTATATTTTTGCAAATACAGTAATCATGTAAAACACTACCTGCTACTGGGAATGTTGAGAAGGTTTCATTTAGAAGTAAATAATAAATAATTTTAAGACACCACAGTGAATCATGCTTTTATATATGGTGTTGTTGTATTATAAGGTACCTTTGTGCTTCTCTTAATTTAATTCTTACCTCCGCCAAAGGAAGTTATGTATTCACTGTTGTCTGATTAAAAGATTAAAATAAAAATGATATACTGTTTTGATTTATATAGGTACACAAGAACCAGTAAGAATGATGATTCTGGTAATCACTTTATGGAAATTGGATGGGTTACCTTGAAAAACTTGCTTCCCAATGAAATTTACCAGGTGAGTAGGGTGATAATGTAATTATTGATAGTAATATTGATGATGAATAAAGTTCTATCAAGATTAATGAATTGAAAAAGTATGGCCATATTTATAATGCGATGTCATCATGACCATTTTTATGGATCTCACATGTTTTTGTCTAGATAATTGGCTTAATGATGCAGCCTGTAATGGTTACAATGGCGATGATGGTGATAATGATGTTGATAATGATAATGATGATGTTGGTGATGATGATGTTGATGATGGTTGTTATGATATAAATGGTGATGATGATGTTGATTATGATGATAATGATTATGGATTTGTAGATAACGTGTTACAGTCTGCAGTAATGCAGTTAATATTAATATTGAAGATGATGATGGTGAGGTTGATTATAAAGGTGATAGTGACACTCCTCTTTTAAATATCCAAATATCTGTATCTTAGGTAGCCGTTCCCAATTATTTCTTCAAACCTCCTACAGAGTCTTAGAAAATTCATTTGTACAACATATAAAAAAAAATCCTCCAGAGACTGGCTTTAAATGCTAATTCTTTATACTTTTAGAAAGAACAGTATTTACCTGTACAGAGATGATGATATATGTGATGATGTCAAAATTTGCTGGCATAGTTTTGACTTTTTAATAGGTATTCTACCTAAATTTACACCCCTCTCCAATAAGTGCCTATGCCATACATTGAATTAGCTGCCCTTATTCTGGATTATGCTGTGTTGGCATATTTATAGACAATAAACTAATTTTGGATTCTGCCATGGGGAAGATTATGTTAGGCCCAGAAGCTTGAGCATTTTTTTTGCATAGTTTCAAAGAAAAAAAAAATGTTTGCACAATTTTGAATTTCGGCAAAGATTCTCACCAGAGAGAGAAAAGAATTATGAAAATACAAATTCGAAGAACTGCCGATAACATATATTCTATCATCATCATTCTCATGTGTTGTTTATTCACAGGATGTCCTAAGGCCACAAGATATGGGGAAGACAAGACAAGTGACGATGAGGATTATCTGCCGAGGCAAGCCACCGGTAGGGGGAATCGCAGTGCAGGAACACTTTGAAGTGAATGTCGTCCCTCTTACCATTCAACTGACCTACAATTTCTTCAAACACATGATGGGGTTTTTCTTTCCTGGTAGAAATGTTGACCAAGAACCTGGAGAAGACCATCAGCTCAAGAATAGACTGGGTAAGACTAGTGCCAGGTTCATAATATTTTGTTTTTATTTATTATCATTTTATTATTATTATTATTATTATTATTATTATTGTTATTGTTATTATTATTATTATTGTTATTATTATTATTATTATTATTATTATTATTGCCCTTTTTGTTCTTATTATAAATTATTGTAATAATAATATTGTTGTTGCGAGTGTTGATGTTCGTTGTATATTTTTAATAATTTTATTTAATATTATTGTTATTGTCCTTATCATTATCTTTGGCATCATCACCATTATCATGATCATCAAAATCATCGATATCTTCATTGTTGTCATTACTATTGCCATCATCCTCCACCACAGTTGCTAATTTTCATTTTCTATAGCTATTATTAAACTTAAGAAATATTAAATCCTATGCTAGTTTAATAAAAAAAAATGTTATTATTGGTAGTTTCATTGTTATTACTGTACTCAAATTATTATTCATTATTATTACCATTGTCATAAATATCACTACATGGTCTCAAAATTAAATTTAAAAAATGTTTTTTTTTTGTCTATAGATATTGATGATGATACAGAAAGCATTTCTTCTCGAGTCAGTAAGGTTAGTTGTGTTTTTTAGTATTCATAGTGCAATGCACCCACCAATTCAACACCCCTCTAATTCCAAGACCCCTCTAATTCAAAACCACTTTTCCAAAGATCCAAATAACAATCTTCAACCTTTTAACACAAAGCTAGCCCTCTGATTGAAGACCAACCCAGAGATTGCCCCAGATTTTCAGGTCCTAAAGGTGGTCTCGAATTAGAAGGTGAACGGTATTATGTAACATTCAGAAAATTACGTACATGTACAAAACAACTGCATGATTTAGCAATGCAAATATATCCTCACAATTTTTTTAATAGTTTTGGTGAAAGCAGTACTTACCGTGGCTTGAACTAAGCCAAAATTATTGAGTAGAGTAGTTTCTATAAAGGTCTGTCCAGACTATGAAATCTTATGTGATGTGCCGTGGGCATGATGATGCCATATTACACCCATCATCTTTTTGTGACATAACATTTGATAGTGTGGACAGCTGTATGTATAAATTCAATAATTGTCCTTGGTAATAAAAGAGTTAAAATCATAATATATATCATATTATAATATCATTTATTTCACCAGCTGAATAAGACCAACCAAGTATTAATAAGCTGGATTCCTCAAAAGCAACACAACATATTACTGTAACTTGGCTCTCCAGCTGACAAAACATACTGTATTGTTAATTGAGTGATGACATATTGAATTGATGGGTTGATTGATTGATTGATTGATTGATTGATTTTTTTTTACAGACAAGTGTTCGATCAGGCAACAGTGATGACTCTGGCCACTTAGCATCAACCACTTCCAGTAGAGACAGTTTTAGGGTATGCCAACCTAATTCCAACTCAACTTTTGTCAGAAAAGTTCATATTTTGCCAAAGAAAACAAATTTGGAAGTCAAGTATACTAACAATTTTTTTAAAATCATTTTTAGAATGAGTGGTATCTTATCAAGTATTTTTTAGAATGACTGATAGTGGTGTTAATTGCTATATAATAATATTTATTATTTGGAGTTAAACTGTCACATCAGTGGCACACTTTGAAACACAGAGGTGCATCTGAAACACGAAAATTGACAAGTGATACAAGATCCATCAAATAAAAGAACAAGTATTAAACTTAAAACCAACTCTAAACAACTGAAATTATTTCTTTCTTCCCTCCCCTTCTTCCCTGAAAATTCAAATTTTACCCCTTCCTGCTAAATAGAACTGTACTAAACTTTAACCCTTATTATTAACAATACAAAATACTAAGTAGCCTAAACAATGCAAACGTTCACCCCTTTCCCAATATAAAAATTAACATAAAAAATAACAGTAATGCAGAAAAGAAAAGTTATATTAAATTTGCTTGTAAATTTGTATTCATTATAAATGCATACAAACAGCACTTGTAGAAATTTTTTTTAAATATTTTTTTGTATAGAAATTGTTTTGGAAGACCCCACCCAAAATTTGCTACATATCTTTTATAACATGTATTGTTTTTGATGGAATTTTTGATGTGGTAGATATTGATGTACATTTTGATATTTATATAGTTTTTGATGTGAAACTGGGTGAGTTGGAAACACTGACTTTCCAACTCACTCAGTTAGATGCTTTTTCTTTGTACTGCTTGTGATGTTATGTTTTGGTAATAAAAAGAATAATAATAGGAATATGATATTATTTTCTTTTTATCTTTAGGTGAAAAAGAAGCAGGAATCAAGAAAAACACAGAATTCAGATGACATTGAGAAAATGAAGGTGAGCAAGAAAATATTCATTTTATTATAATAATAATAATAATAATAATAATAATAATAATAATAATAATAATAATAATAATAACAACTAGCGCTAACTCAGACTTAAAGGGGAATATCTTTTGTGTTATTTCCTCATTAATTTTTAATTACCTCCTTTCTAATTGGCTAGTTATAACTTTGATTTTAATCTGATTGGTCGGTTTTTATTTGCTTTCTGATACTTCTGTAAATATTGTAAACATATATGAATGGATGAGATTTTTTCATCAGTATTCTTGAAAATGATCAAATATATCGAAACGTTGAATCTCAAAATGTCTCTGTCTCTTTTCGGAGTTACTGTCTTTTTGTTTTATTTAAGACTAATTAGTGGATCCTCTGGTTTTCCCATTAATGTCATGTTATTTTCCCTTAACGTTGTTTTTTTTAATTGTTCTCTAATTTCTCCATTGTCTAAGTTCCCCTTAAAGGTAGGTTTTAGTAACATAATAATAATAATAATAATAATAATAGTTTCATTTATATAGTGGTTTACACACTAATGGTCTCTTTGCGGCTGAGCTACCAGGTAAACCTGTGCCAGCTACTCTTGTCTGTCCACAACAAGGCCAGTATGAACTAGTACAAGTAGTAATGGGTAGTAACTGCCCATTACCTGTCCCAAAAGATGTACTGGGATTTGTAGTGCACTTAGCCAATTGTATATACTGTGCGTACAGTTTATAGTCCTTATCCAAGAAGACATGTTCCACCTCCTAGAACCAAGGAAAATTAATTCACCAGCGGGTTTCAACTCCAGTGGGTTTCAACTGCAGTTTTCAACTTCAGCAGGTTTCACCCCCTGACCCATTCAGAACTCTACTCTGGATTCCAGACATGTTCTATAGTTGTAAAAATATGCGACTTAGGGAGTGGAGTTGATTTGTCACATCTAGATTGATCTGCGAATCTAATATGTAATTTAGCTCATAACAATTTATAATTATAAATAATATATAATTTATATAATGTAATTTAGGTTTTTTTTGTGAATAGTTACCTGGATAAACCGACTAACTATAGGCTTATAACTATTAGGATTATAACAGCAAGTAGAAAAGGGGGCTCCTTATTTGAGTTAACAACAAATAGGGAATGAGGACTATATTGTTAGGGAGATGTTCATATTTGGCACTAGACTGTTCTATTTTATTCGAAGGGGTGTTTTTTGGCAGCAAAAGCAATTATTTGGTTTATCCAGGTATCTCTCATAGACTATTAATATCACAATTGATTTGTGTAGTTTATAATTATTAATAATATATAATTAATTTAACAATACATTGACTGTAAAATATCCACATCATCATTTTGTAGTAACTGCCTTTGTGTTAGAAATAACCAAAATCCATTTTTCTTACTTGTAGGAACGTGCTGAGAGAAACAACACATTCTTTTACATCAAGATACCACCGCTTCCTCTATGTATTAGTTATAAGGTATTTAAATCATTTGTCTATTGTTCATGATGTAAATTCTTTAAAATACAATGGGGCATGGGGAAAAGGCATTAAATGTATTTTTAAAATCCAAAATAAAATAATTTTTTTTAATTATCACAGAAATTGAGATGTATAATTTATTTTGTTTTGTTTTCTGAAGGGTGGTAAAGACAAAAATATTGAAGATGTTCACAACTTGAATATTTTACTCCCGACCCAAGAGTACCATAATCGTACATGGACATGGCTTGATCTTCTAATGGCTTTAAAACGAGAGTATAAACAAGCACTGTTGTCTCAGGTAACTAATTAAAGTAAATTAAGATATTGAAGCTGCGCCGGCCTCTAGGGTTCCATGGGAGCCACAGTGCAGCGCCACCACTGGTGGTGAATTGAGCGGTACCCCAAGAGACATTCTCCTTTATTTTGTTTGATCTTTTTTTTTTTTCTCCTCTTCCAATAGAGTACTATTTATTTACCATATATTCTTGTGTATAAGGTAAATTACATATAAGACGACCCCCAAGTTTGAGATCATTTTTAAACGATTTTTGTATGATTTCCGCCTTTTGATACGATCCGCTGGGACAAACCTGCATTTAGCCTTCAAATCGCCATAAAATTCAAAGGGGTTCATGGATTTTGTTGTATCAGCTTTTAAAAAGCTTTAATTAAAACTTAACTGACAAATTAAGCAAAAACCGTCTTGTATGGCTTTGATTTCCGGGTCATCAAGCGTATATGGTGACTATACTAACAGTTTGGAACTGAGACACAAAATGTTATGGATATGGCACCCTACATGGCTGGAAATTGCACTCTCAGACTTAAATTTGAATGCAATTTTCTTTTTTCGCATTTTTTTTATCAAAAAATGTTGGGAAGCCTGGACTGGGATCCTTTTAAATCCTCCCCTGTTAAGAATTATATGAACTTACTTACTGAGGAACAAGATGAGATAATTTTATTGTAATTTTTTTTCCCCTTCAGGCTATCAAGGAGAAACTAAAGTTCAGATTGCCTGTTGGAAAGACTGAAGGACCAACAGGAAAGGAGAGTCAAGCTGAGTGAGTGATTCAAATGACCTCATTAGCCTTGCAATGTGGATAATATTTATATACATGGCCCTTGTTTACCATACATAAGCACATTGTGACTGCTTTTTGGTCAAATAAAATTTGATAGTCTTGACTGGAGGGCAGTCCTAGTTCATGTTGGTCACAGCTTATTACAATTTTTTTGAAAAGAATATATCGTATTTAAGGTCATCATAAATTTCTATTTTATGTTGTGTTTTTCAAATTTTAGCTCCGATTAGGAGCTCTAGAAATAACTTGATTAATCGATTAATAGATCATTTTTGCTGATTTTTTTTGTATGGGCGGCTGTTATGGCCGATATACTCTCTGCCTCTATTATACTGCCCTCATCTTAGCTTTTGAGATTACAAAAACTTGTTCACATTATAATAGCCAATGGATATACTATGACCTGTGTACTATTTCATTTATAATAAATTAACGCCTTTTTTTTTTCTTCTTTTTTTATTTTACAGTGAAGATGCTGATAAAGCCAAGCTTTTATTTGGTGCCAAAGCTCCTAATATTGTAAGTATAAAGAAATTTCCAAGCTCAATCATGTTACTAACTATATGGGGCTCTCTCACCAATATTAGAAGTATTTCGTAATTGTATTTTTCATATATATATCTTCTTTGATACAAGTCAGTCTATGATTCTACTTTCAGTTTCATTGTCAATTCTTTGTAGCTGTTGAGGTTCATCATTTACATCTACCTGCTTTTAATGTCACTCGTTAAACTTCTCCTTTTTCCCAATTCCAAATAATAATTATCTATTTATTATTGAGTGTATGAAACTTGTTTTATCTATGTTTTTTTTTTTTCTGTTCACAGGCCAGTAACGTAGAAAAGCCAAAGAAAGTACTATTTGGTAAACCTCCAAAAAACTAGGGTTTTCATGCAATTCTGTATTAAGTATTATATTGAAATATTTATATGATTTTATACAGTAAATATTATTAGTTGAACTTAAATAGGGCTTGGCAACCAGAGTTTTACTTACTTTTATAACAAATTTGTGTTTAAAAAATCATGTTGGTAAACTGATTTTTTAATTATAAACAGAACGTAACATGATGTTAATGAAGTTAATTGTAAATATGCTAATTATCATGTCATCTTGAAATTACTTTTTGAAATTATTAAATTATAGTTGTCCATGTGAAACAATCAATCTGCATTACTGTTACCAGAAAACACATGGGCATCATTGACGGGATTCATCAATGGTATTTGAAATAATCTGATTAAACTATAGACTTTTTACAAATATGTTTCTAAATATATACACAAGTTGGTTAGTAGATTTTTTTACATGGGCTATAAGCATGAATGTACAAATTATCTCCAATTACTAGAAATTAATGGGAGATAAATCTTCAAATCAAATCAAAAATATATTTCTGCAATTTTAATTATACAAACCTTATTCTTTTTACCACCTTTCTCTTCCCTTTGCCTTTAAACCCTTCCCACTTTCTGAAACCATTACTGCTTTCTGAGAGTGTGTGAGACTTTACAGTGGTATTCACTGATATTTTTAGTGGTTGTATTGAAAGAGTTGTACCAGCAGTAAAGAAATAACTGAATCATGACTTGGCTAAATTCTAAATGTGTAGTACATATTGTCTAGTTACAAGTAGAAGTCTAACAGGGGTTCCAATTTGTCACTTCTGGGAGATCTGTTTAAATAAGCTTTCTTAACACATTTAATGTTATTTTTGCTGCACGTGGTGAATACCCGTCACCACTGACTTCCATGAGAAAATTGATAGTAAAGTAGTAAAAAAATGCAAATATTAAGAATTTGCGGTAGATGGGACATTTTCCTGGAGATTCTTGCTTCCATGTTGGAGTGCGGGAGACTGTACCAATTTGCGAGAGATTCTGAGAATTTCGTGAGACTTTGGAATCCTGAGTTGAATTTGGTAAGTTTGGAACCACCTTTAGTACAAGTTGACTACCAACAACTTTGTAATAGACAATTACAAATTTTTCCCCCAAATCGTTAATAAGTCAAATTTAATCAGGATGGCACTAGCCTGAAATAAGATAATTAAATGTTTAAATATGATATGAATGTTGTGCAGAGTTCCTATTTATAATGCGAAGCATTTAATGATCTAAATTATTTCACATGTCAAAGAGCAGTCATTTTACATTTTTATATTGTTTTGTTTATTGTCTTACAGCCACACAATTTGCAGATTCTGTTTCTATTTGCTTAACCTGTGAAAGATCATGATAATATTGTAATTATTTACTGAAAAGTTATTTTCATACTGAAATTTAGGTATTAAATGTTATAATATTGTTTTCCTTTTTATTTATTATTATTATTTGTGGATTTCACCAAGATAGACATAAAGTAACACAAGCTCTCAAATTAAATCTATTATATATATTTTAAAAACCAGATGAAATTATTTGAAGATTATTATCATTGTTGTTATCAATATTTTGTGTATTATTACAACTACAAAAAAAGTCTTATCTTTATAAATGTGCAGTGTACAAGAAATGTAATGATTGTATTAGCAAATATAAATCAACTATATTGCAATATAATTATGATAATATCGATTAAAAATCTATCAAGTATCATTTATAGAAATCATACTGTATTATTTTGCTTGGTTTATGGTTTATTGGTTTATTTCGTGAATACCAACACATGAAATCAACATATGCCAATTTGCCTTTGGTCGTATTTAAAAACAATCGAATCAAACAACTTGAAATACATTTTAGTGCAGTTACTATTTATTATTTTTTCGACAAATAATGAACATAAATTTTACTATATATATACTGTCTCTTATACACATCTAGATGTGTATAAGAGACAGAGTAATTACCACAATCATCATTCTTACTGGTTGTTATAATACCTACAAGCAAAAATGTATATCTTTTTAAGTTTAATTTAATCGGTTAATTATTAACAGTAATTTTCTGTTCAAATATAAATATATAGACGAGGCAAGGAAGTTGAGACAAGAAAGGTGGGGCAAGGAATATGCACAAAAACTTCAAGTTTAAGTTCAATACAACATTCTCTATGAATGACTGCTCTTTCAAAGGACCTTGGCAACATTATCCAAGGGGGAGGAGGATTAGTGGGATCACAGCAGAACGCACACTCTGACGCCATCATTACTGTAGCTTACAATGAACTCAAAATTCCTTCTTGAGTACAAGGAAGTAAGCATAGACTGAAAATGTATTGTCCATAACCATTCAAAAAGCCCAAACCACAATATCTTTTAGTACAATACTGTCAAGATGGCACTTCATTCTAGTATTGTTGTAAATAAGGCCTAAATTATTAATAGATAGATTTCTAGTCAAATCTATATTTTGTAAGTCAACAATATGCTTAAAGACTTCACATGAGCTAATATGCTCATAAATTATACTATTAGATATAGTTGCATGTTCTTTAAGACGAGTGATGAGACACCAGTCAGTTTTAACAATATAATCACTGTTGCAACCAGGACATTTGAAATGGTAAACAATAGAGCTGACATATTCCTTCGGAGTTTTATCTTTAGTTGATAAATAAAGTATGATATTTTCTTGTATTGCCAAAGCGTGATGAATTTAACTGGTTTAATGAGATTTCGTCTAACTGTCTTAAGGCATCGGCTTAGCATTTCTTCACCAGCTTTACCCAAATATGGTAATCTAATCCAAATCTTCCAATTTATCGTCATCTTCATCAGGAATACGAGTCTGCAGTTTATTTTCAAATTTTCTAAGTAGTATATATTTTTATGACTTTCAGAGGAAACCCGTTCCAATACATGAATTTCTTAATAGTGTTAATCTAAGTTTGTAGGCAGTGTCCAGTGCAAAGTTATGGGCTCTTGAAAGTGTCCATGCTGTTTTGTGATGCCAAGGAGCAAAACTGTCATAGTTCATATATTGTCCAGTATGAGTGGTCTTTCTGTATCCACTTGTAGGTGCAAGAAATGCATCGTTAGCTCCATGAAAACACTTTTAATAGTATGAAGAATATCTCTTCTATTAATTTAGCTGTTAACCTCAGACAACATCCCTAACCAAACTTTTCGAGGATTGACACGCTTAACTACACTCTATCTGGATACAAACAAATTGAAAAACATAAAAGAAGAATGGTTTGAGGACTTGACATCATTAGAAGAATTTTATGCCAGCAATAATAGTTTCACGGCCTTGGGTAATGTGTTTAAGAACTGCTTAAAACTGAAAAATCGATTTACGCTACCGTTTAATCACTAAAATTCCGAGCATACTGTTCCGTGGACTACCGAATCTGCTTAATGTTGTATGCTCCTACAACCAAATTGACAACATTGCAGATGATGCTTTCCAAGGTTCAAATCACATCAGCTCTCTCCAATTTGACCGCAATCTCTTAAAAACAATTTCCAAATCAATTGGCCTACAACACCTACCTAATTTAGAATATATCTCTTTTAACACAAATCCTTTTCAATGCAACTGCGACCTAGTATGGTTCATTAAATGGATCCAATCCTTTGACGTCAGGCCGTATATGTACAAATTGGATGCGATGGTCCGCCAAACTTAGCCCTTCGTCGTCTCGTGGATTTGGATCCAGAATCATTTAGCTATAGTTCTCCTGTGATAATCATTGTTGTTTCAGTTGCAGCTGTACTGGTTATAATCGCGATTGTCCTATATTACTTTCGTTGGGACATAGGTAATAAGAGTTCTGTATATTCATAATGTAATGTGGCCCAGAATTAATCTTAAAATCTCGGTATTTTGAAAATGCATATATCATTGGATTTTAACACAGAAAAATATTTATTGATTTTTAAAATTTAAAAACTTAATAATAATAGAACCGAAAAGTCCACTGATTAATCTCAGATAAGATAATATGATACATACTCCAAGTATCGAAGTGCACGCCATCGTGTCGAGATTCAATATTTCGAAAGCCTAATGACGAAACTGCTCAGCGACTATTTAACATACGTAAAATGAAGGACCTATATTTCTACGATGAGAAGAAAAACTGTTGTTTTTAAAAACGGTTCTTTCAAAAAAAAGAGGCTGTTCTTTTCGGCGTCCCAAAGAACGGTTCTATGGCATGGAATCAATCGGGGACAAAAACGACCGCTCTCTGTGGGGTAGTTTTTAGCTGCAACATAATTTTTTTTTTAGGTCAAATCAGCCAGTAGCTAAAAGAATTGTTAAAAAAAGAAGGAATTAAATAATTTTGGCCTCTTGCATGATTTTACCTGTAGATATATATTTAATGAAGTTCTTCAGTAATGATCAGAAATACCATACGAGTGATAGACTAGGCTACAATATTATAATCTGTTATCAGTAAAACAAATGTACTTCCGTTTTCAACACAAAAACAAATATTTTTTTTTGTTAAAGTCAGTCTCAGGAGGAAAAAAATTGTTGACATGCTTTCATATTTTTGAATATTTAAAAACTGGGGAAAAGAGGCGTAACCATCATTTTTTCACCTTTTATCCACCTTTTCCCCACAGTTTTTAAATATCTTGTTAACCGTTTCTAAGTTGTTCGTTAAATACCGTATGCTTTTTATGTTTTAGAAAAATCAGTTGTACATAACAAAGATTCCCCTCCCCCCCCCCCCCAGAGTGCCTACCTGCGCTTATATGCCTAAATAGAATTCACGGAGGCAGGCGATTTTCAAGGAAACATTACAGACACGCGTATACAGACGTCAATCAACATTTGGTTGCTCAACTGCTGGGAACAGTCACAAAAGTGGGGGGGGGGGGCGGATTTTTTTAATCGATTTCCATGTATTAATACAACAAAAACAACACTATCAGAGCAGCTCTTCATATTGCATCCTTTCGTATACTGGGCCTAATTACTAAGCATTAAAACTACCTCAAGTTTTATAAATTAAAATTAAATGGTAAAATGTTCTTATAAAATTCAGTTAGAAACAAACAATAAAATATTATAAAACTGTCAAAATAATATAACATTTATACATTAAACCTGCTAAACATACCAAAGAAAGCACTGTCATGTAACTGATTTAAAACTGTATATAGATTGTTCTCTCATATAGGAAGAAATCCCCATAGGCGACGAGCATTAATAATTAATAAACACAAATATATCAGAGTTAGTTCTGGAAAATTAATGTCTTACAAAGACGGAATTGGAATATCGGGGATTCAATTCGATAAAATCGTGTACAGTATATTAAAATAAATGTCGCCATAAATACACTTTTAGAAAAAAGGTATATTGCAGTCTCTAATCCATAGTTTATGAAACGTTTTATATTCAATGTCACAAGCAGTGCTCTTTATTGGATCCACTTTCGATACAGTGGCTTTGGTCATCACCCAAAATGCTTCCATAAGAAAGAAAGAAACATACATAAATAAAATACATAGAAAAAAAAATTAAAAATAAAACAAAAACAAAGTAAAAAACACAGGGAGTTACTTTAAAATTATTAAGAATATGAACTTTTAGACGGCGCCAGACTACGATGCTGTAAGACGTGTATATCTTGTAGTACCTGAAAATTTTACACATTTTTACACAACCATCAATTGAATTAGTGCTCCGATCGAGAAAACTAACTGTAACAAAACTGGACCTTTCCACTAAGCCCCGCCCCTTAGATATTGTTGCTAAGGTACCACAAGACGACAGTGTTAAAGCATACGCCAACACGTGCGTTTGTGGGACAACACGTGTGTTTGTGAGACGCGTGCGTATTCCTAGCGCTGTTCTGATTGGTCAGTTGTTAAGTTTGATTGACACTCCGGAAAGGTCTATTGATCGGGGCTGAGATGTATGTCAACTCTCGGTATTGAAGTAGGTAAAAGCAAATACATCAAAGACAGTGTTTATAAGTTTTATTTTCCAACTGTACATCAAAAATATTAATTAGATCTCTATCTCAACCAAAATCTATAGCTGATAAAAGATCATGAGAATTTGTTGGCGCTTCATTTTGACTACGTAGGCCTAATGGTGATGTGATGATGATGAATATTTTATAAGTGTCATTTCCAGCCATCTAGAGGTAGGCCTACAATTTTCTCATCGTAGGGCTGAGGTGAACGTGGGCGCATGGTTTTGGGGTAATTATATACATCAAAGAAAGTATTTATTTAGTTTTATTTTCTATGATACATCACTCATATTAATTAGATCGCTGTGGTTGCCGAAAATCCCTGATAAAAAATCATGAGAAATTTGCTGGCGCTTCATTTAAAATATAATAGTGGTGTGATGATGATGAATTTTACTATATATAAGTGTCATTTCCGGCCATCTGAAGGTACTTTTTCCTCAAATTTTCTCACCTCAAACCCACTCATGGTGGGCCTGAGGTTGTGGACTCACGGCTTTAAAGTAGGAATAGTAAATGCATCAAAGGAAGGACGTTTAGAACTGCTCGGAAACAAATTACTAGTACTTCGGACACAGTTAACTTACAATTTTACAATTAAATGTTTTTGTTTTTTTTTTTTATGAGAAAAAAATCTCTGAGTGTGAGCGTTTCTGTATTATTTTGCATGATTTATTGGTTGGTAAAACTTAAGGATTTTTGTAGAACCGTAAATCAATGAAAGCTATTTTTACTCCCATCTGATTTTGATCGTTTTAAATCTATTCAATATTTAATTGGGTAGACCCCAGCTAACAATATTACGTTCTAAGAACGTTATAATAACGTTACAGTTTGGTGATAAAAACGTTATTTGTAGAACCATGTGTACGTACTTATAACCTAATTTCACAACCTCACAACATGAACGTTCTTATAACGTTTTGTAACGTTATTTAGTGACATTCCTAACCACAACGTTCGCGAACGGTATAAGAATGTTTTGTGTTTGCTGGGACACAGCCTAAACAGTACGTCATATCATGTGTATAGACTATCGTAAAATTAGTGTTTATAATATACCTGCTTGCTATATAATCTATGCCTTTATTCATATTGAATATATATGAACGAAATATTTGTAAGTGTCAAGATTAAAACAATACATACAATTGTACATGTGTGTCCGAGCATTTTTAAACGTTTATTTTTAAACTTTAGAATCAGTAGTATAGCAGTTAATTGGGCAAAAACAAATTTGTTTGTTTGCCCTCCTCCACCCGCCTCTAGCTCACTGAAAAAAATAGGGACGGAAAAACAAAAACAAAAAAAAAACTTTAAAAAGGGTTTTCTTTTAGCTTTTTTCTTTACAAATTAAAAAAATGTGAGTGAATTTATCTTTGTTTTTTTTTTTTTGCCAGATGCCTTGCAAATTAGTCTAAAGTTGTTGTCTGATGTAAGATATTGCCATTCTAGGCCTCCGTGGGTTATTTTTATTCCATCTGATGAGTAGCCTATTTGAAAATAAATAAATAAATAATAAAAAACTTTTTCCAGCCGCCCCTATTTATCTTTTTTTTTTAAAAGAAGGGCAAAGAAAAAATTATTTTTTTGGCCTTACTGCTATACTTTACTTTAAATTCAACGCTGCCTTTTTATACTTTCAACGATCATATTGTACGTAAACACTGCCTAGGCATAGGGATATTGTAATTACAGTAATAGTCAATTACGGTAGTTCACTCTGTATCGGCTGTATACACTTTCCTCTCGACCGACTACCAAGAGATTTTGGCCTACCCTAACCATGGAGGTACGTATGTAACTGTTAATTGCTTTTAAATTAAGAATGTTACAATCAATCAATCATTACACATTGTTTTAATAATACATATCATAAAGATTGATCCTAACAAGGTTGGAAAATTGTTAAATGTTATTAATGATATTAATAATAATACAATTATTAATGGCCTAGTTGTAACAATAACAACAATCAATAATATTATATTGATGATGATGACGATCAATAATAATAATAATAATAATAATAATAATAATAATAATAATAATGAATAAACAATAATAATAATAATGAAATTCAAATGTCAAATTCTAATAAATATTTATTTTCCTTTTTGTTATATTTTACATAATATAATCAGACGATAATAATAATACTAATTTGAAAGCTAGGGGCCTGGCCTATCCAATTCTTATATAGGCTCTAAGCTACAAGTACAAGAATAGATAGACCTAGCATAATTAATAAATACCTAATAAGGTCAGAACTCTCTCTATAGTAGCCCATGAATAATCTACACTAGGCAAGTTTTTATACACACCACCGATACATGGCGCCCTACTCCACTGGCCTCCTATTATGCAATTCGGTTGATTTCACGTTTTTGGGCTCGCTGCCCGTTCTTCCTCTATTTGCTACAACGTTTAAATTTGCTATTGTGACCACCGTCAGAATGAAACGAAGCGGTGCTTCCAAGAGTATGTGCGCATGCTCTTCTCACAAATCGGGACCTCCACCGCCGATGGAGTATTCTATCTATAGGTCTAATCTGAATGATTAAAGTTTAAATACATATGAAGAAACTTTGAATTATTATTATTTGAATTGAAATTTGTTAAAATACAGGAGTAATAATTCTTTTGAAGAGAAGACAATCATACCGGTATTGAAAAAATACATACATTGTATTTTGATCATAGACGGAATCTGAATCTATCTGTATAGTAGTATACTTACTAACCTTTCCTACTAGCAGGGGAGCTGATGGGGGTAGAAAGGTAAAGTGGAGGATCGGTGATTAGGTGAGGTGATTTTTAACTTTGAGCATGATTGTGGGTGCAGGATGTGCCAATAGCTAGCATACCCTACAATTTACCATTTTAAAGAAGTTGCAAAGAAACAAATAGGCCCTATAATGAGGAAGAGACAAAGGAAAAGGAACGTCACGGTTAGTTTTAATAAAATAATATGACCATTAAAAGAAGATAGGTTGCATGTTACATGTATCGCATTCACTTATTTCTTTAGTTACGTAATGTCAGCCATGCAGTGGTAAAATAATGTTTTATGATTTATAAAGCATCCTGAAATTAGTTATCGTTACATTTAAGAACAGGTTTTTGTAGCAGTTTCATATCATATTTCATAACATAAAATATTTATAAACCATTAAAATGATATGAAACATCAAAAGGGTCATTGGTATGGTGAAATATCTTGTATTTCTTTCCATCATTATACTTGGACAAAAACCTTTGTTGTGGCATTAAAGTTAACATGATTGGCAATATATTGGCCTACAATACAACATATTTCGGTCAGGGGCAGCTAAAGCATACTTTTACTTTAACTTATTGAGAAACCTAAAACAGAGTGTGCTTGAAAATCTTTAAAAATTGGCCTTTTAGCGTTCATATAAATTCACAAAACAACTGACTGAGACACGGCTTGGGAATGCGGAAGTAAGTATGTAAACATGTGGTCCGAAAAATGACTTCAAAAGTCATTACTTTTTAAATATGAAATGATATTTACTTCTTGAGATGATGATCTATTCGAATATTAAGAGCACATGAATATTGCAAAAATCCAAAATATTTGTGTCCACTATTGTTTTAAACAATTGCCAAATTGTGTACTCTAATCTCAAATTTAGAAAAGGAATTAGTAAGTTTAATGCAGTATCGTGTATAGATTAGTGGTTCCCAGTCTGGGTTTACAAAAATAGTCCGCTAGATTTTTAGACCAAGTTTTCATGATTTCTTTTTTCTTGTCTTTAAACAGTGTGGAGGCTTAAAGATTTCTGCTAATCATTAGATGCCTTATCAATAACGAAAAACCTTTGACATAGGCGTAGACGTTAGTCAAAGTAAATTATTTTAACTGGCATTATATTTTAATTTAAATATTTGTTGCTGATCTGTTAAAATGTTCTGTGTTTTTATATGTAAAGATGTTCAGAGTTTATATGTTTGGTGATTAGCGAGCCACTTGACAGTGGCAATCCTAATGTAATGAACATCTTTTTTTGTATGTTTCATATGGTTCTGTCTTATATTGCTTTCACCTGGATATTCAATATATTTTAAAAATCAGGCCAAAATATTAAAAATGAATGGTGGTAAAAGAAAATCAATTCAATTTTTGAGTCTGACGGTGCCATTTCCGGCAATCTCAAATTGTGTATCAGCCCCCGCCCATGATGGGGCTGATCTGGTTTCTGTTTCAAATTTCAGTATTTGCAATTGTGTAGTGTTGTACTTTTGAGGCGAATGATCTTATATCTATAATCTGTTTTAATATCGACAATGAGTAATGCTTAGACACAGGGGATCCGTGAATGCAAAAAGATTGAGAACCATTGGTGTAGATCTCAAACATACAACTACATAGGCTCGATCCTAATCACCTAATTGCACTATTCTGATACATAAATTAAAGACCACATTATTATTTTAAATCTTGAAGACACAACCTATGGGACTAGCACATACATGATCTTTGTTTTCATAAATTTAGTTTTTTATCAACCAATCTTTATGCGCATTTGGTGTTCTTAAGACCTCTGCAAGTGTGGTCCAAAACTTAGCTCTGTCTTCTTCTTCCTCTGGCCATTTGAGATACGTTTTGGTTTGCATCACCAAACGTAGAAAGTTGGGTATGCGGGCCACATCAACATCCTCCAGCAGAATGATCAGGAGGCTGTCTTCATTTGCATCGAACATTTTAGTTCTTGCCATCTCCACTTCGAAGAAACACCATTCATTGGCGATGAATGACTTGGTGACAATTAGCAATGTTTTATGACTGCTCTTGATAGAATCAATGATGTTGTTGAAGATTGTATCACCAGCAATAAAGTCTCTATAATCAAGACAAAGTTTGAAGTTATGAACATCTCCCTCTAGTTTTGGTTGCAGCACATGTATAACCCAGTCTAAATCCTCGTGGCTGTAAGATACATAAACATCAAAGCGAATGTTGACTCCATCGAGGGGAGGTAGCCCCTCATCTGCAAGTCTCTGGTATTGCTTACGAAGAAGATGCCGCTGATAAAGATACCTGGAGGAATTAAAAGGATAAATAAAATGTGGATTTATTCTAACATGAAATATTATTCATAATAATAGGAATGGGGACGGGTGAATTAAGAAGGATGAAAAAAAAATGATTAAAGGAGGATGATAGGGATAATGGAAAAAACGTAAAGCTTGGTTTCCATACAATCGCTATACGCTATCGGCGAAACCGTTGGTAATGCTGATTGGTCGATCGACTCGGGGATCCTTCTCCCGTTGTGTCGGTGACTAATTCGCAGACAACGATTCCACTGAAAACACCGTAGCGACACTGTGTAGCGATTGTATGGAAACCATGCTAAAAAAAAAGAGAGAAAAACGAAAAGTGGAAGATTGGAGACGGAGAATGATGGAAATATGGAGAAGGTTAAGTAGAAATAAAAATAAGGTGAAGGGTAAAGTGATGTGGATAAAGATGAGAATAATGGAAAGTAGAGAAGAAAAAATAGAGAATAGACAGATTGAGACTGAGAAAGATGAATGTATGGAGAAGTTTGAGTTGAATATAAAGGGAAGGTGTAGGAGAAAGTGATGTGGATAATGACAAGGATAATACACTGTTAATTTCAAGGAGTCAATTTAACTCCAAAAGTGGAGTTAATAAAAAAGGTACAGAACGACTCCTTTTCTGGAGTAATATTTACTCTCATATTTTTACTCCCCAAAGGGAGTAACATT